CCCCAAAACCCCAAAACCCCAAAACCCCAAAACCCCAAAACCCCACTGGAGTGATTTACTGGAACAATATATAAAGAGGGAATCTAATAATAATTAATTAATAACTTCCAAATGTTTTCCAATACCTATCAGAACTACGATATCGATGAGGAGATGAACTTCTTCAACAAGAACGAACAAATAAACTTGTACCAACCTGAACCAGCCCAGGACTTCTTCAGCTCTGGTGCTTTGAACTTCAGGGAAAATGATACACCAATTCTTCCTAACATTTTTGAGGAGATCTCTCCAATGAGAATTCGGGAAAATTTTCGTGATGAAGACCTTATTGCTGCTACTGGTGGTTATGAGTGCTTGAAATGTAAAAGCAAAGAGTGCTCTTGCAACAAATGTGAGATTCAGAGCAACCTTGATTTCTCTTTCTCTAAAAGCATCAAGATCCAAGCACCTTTGGAGAAATTTGATGCTCCTGCCATTGATATTAAACAGCAAAACCAAGATGGCCTCCAAGACCAAAGTACTGTTGTTAAACAGACCTTGGAGACTGATACTTGAAAAGAGTCTGAGGATGACAAAGAGACCTCTAAACAAATGCCGGTGGTCAAGCCTCAGAAAAAATCAAAGAGTAGGAATGACTCTAACCTCTTCTTGGTCAGGAGGGCTTGCTTCAGAGGTTTTAGTGAATACTTTAAAAACAAATTTGCAGCTACCAACTACTCTTGGCAACGTAAGAGAGGTAACAAAAAGAAGAAGACTCCAATGACCAGTCTTATTAAAGAGTTTGCTGAACAGGAGTTCGGGTCTATCGTCAAGAGACTTTCAGACGAGGAATGGATTAAATTCCGTACAGAGTTGATCACAGTCATGTTTTCTCATCGATACAAGAAGAATGATGACTTTTTACAAGGCATCAACTTCTCCAAGATTAGGAATGTACTGTATCACTATACAACCGAGTCAAGGAATGAATTTATGAGTAATTCATACTTCTGCTTCTTCATTCACCATTTCTATGTGAAGAATGGCAAGGAATTTTTGGAGACTAAAATTCAGGAGAAATCTAAGCTAAACTACTCCTTACTGAAGATGGAGTTGAATATCTTAGACCAAGAAGCTATGGCTCACTTATCTAAATCATTTCCTTTCTAATATCTCCAAATAATGAATTTGATATGTTTCCTGATGAAATTTAGCTTCTCATGCTCTAGCTTTCAGTAGTTTACAGAAATATTAGGTTGAGTATAGTGAAGCTCTTAAGCTTCTAAACCCTTACAAATAGAGAAACATAGAGCTATCATTTGGCATGTATAAACGACTTCGACTCTAAATACCTTGTTCAATACACTTTCTTTGGGATTTGGGAAGCAAATTTAGTATAAAATGGCTGCATGCCTCATCTTTTAAGGAATTTTCATTTATTATGATACAAAGAAGATTTGTGAAGGCATATAAAACTGGGCTGGTACGCAACACTTAGTTTCTGGTCGATTAGACACAGAGAGTTTTAATATTGCTATTCATAAGAGAGACATGATGAAAATAGTCATACAATTTCTGATCAGTCAACAGAACATCCTGGGTACGTCATTGAGGTGATTGCTATTCTCAATAAACTGACTGTGAAAGGGGTTTTGGGGTTTTGGGGTTTTGGGGTTTTGGGGTTTTGGGGTTTTGGGG